ACCATGTTGTGCCGAGGCTGGTCTCGATCTCCTGACCTCAAGTGATCCACCCTCTTCGGCCTCCCAAAATGCTGGCTTTTTTTTTTTTCTTTTGAGATGGAGTTTGGTAACCCAGGCTGGAGTGCAGTGGCACAATCTCAGTTCACTGCAACCTCCACCTCCCAGGTCCTGGTTCAATCAATTCTCCTGCCTCAGCCTCCTGGTAGATGGGATTACAGGAGCGCACCACCATGCCCAGCTAATTTTGGTATTTTTAGTAGAGATGGGGCTTCACCATATTGGCCAGGCTGGTCTTGAACTCCTGACCTTGTGACCCACCCACCTCGGCCTCCCAAAGTGCTGGGATTACAGGTGTGAGCCACCACGCCCAGCCAGATGCTGGGATTACCGGCATGAGCCACCGTGCCTGGCCTTGCTTGACCTTATCTCTGGCCAGTCCTAACCTTCAAGCTGCTGAATCTTGATTTGCTGCAAGCAGCTCTCCTTCTCCAACATGGTCACTGAGTGGTTCAGGAACTCGAAAGCCTGGGGGAAAGAGGTCAACCTTGGGGTGACAGGAAGGAGGGGAGGGCAAGGAGAAACAGAGGTTGCTGGCAACAGGGCCAAGGTGGTTCACCTTGGTCTGGGCCTGTAGCTGGCTCTTGAGTGACTCAAGTTCACATCGCAGGAGCTTCTGGGAGTCAGGAATCATCACAATGGTTTTGGCTGTGGGCAGAGGAGAGGGTGGTGAGCCAGCACTGGGAGGGGTGGGGTCTGGGGCAAGGGCAGGGCAGAGGTCAGCAGAGGCTCAGAGTAGCAGTAGGGACAGGGGGTAAGATTTAGAACAGCGGCCCTGTGATCCTTGGGCAGGAGTGAATGGGTGACCTTGGCAGAGGGTCACCTGTTGCTGGGGCAGAGGGTAGAGCTAAGAACCAGCAGGTCTTCCCTACACAGTCTCATTGGGAAGGAGCTTTCTCACCTTTGGCTTTGGAAGAGCTGGTCTCCAAGGGCTTCTAAGGAAGAGAAACAAGAGCAGAGTAGAAATTTGCCCCTGAGCTGCCTCCTTGTTCACCCCAACCCAGTTTGGAGGGCTGGACAAGAGTTGGATCTCCTCAGTTCTGGGTGTCCCAAACCACAAGTGCAGGCAAAGCTGCACTCCAGGCATATTCATGCACCTCCCCCTTGGGCTACACATGTTCAGAAATGCACTTGTGTGGCTGAGAGACGCTCACAGCCAAATCCCCATGGAAGACACACAACAGCACTCTTTGCTTCCATTCATTCCGTCATCCCTTCATTTAAGACTTGCTTAATGAGGGCCTGCTGAGTGCTAGGCACTGTTCTAGGTGCTGAAGACACACAGTGGGTGTGTTCATGGGAGTCCCTCTGCCTTACAGCCCCTTCCCTAAGCCCCGCAGCGGTAGATTGCCGTGGTTTTCTGTATTGAAGGGGTTTCTTGGGTGGGGGTGACCTTAGCTACGTTGTGATGCCTCTTCAAAACGTCCTGGTCATTACGGCACTCCTTCTTCAGGTCTGGGTTGGGGAAGGGGGGAGCCCCATATGGTGGAGGCCCCGAGCCCACCACTGGCATCCAGTCTACACTCCTCACTATGTCCCCAGAAGCAGGGCGTCCCAAGGTCTCCCGCTGTGGGGTCCTGGACCAGTGAGCTGTACACTCCAGAGCCATGTCCAAGGAAGAGCCTAGGAGTGAGGGCTTCCTTGAGGGACAGTGCAGAGCACTCCTTGCATTCCCAGCCCCTCCCAGCATCCCCAGCCCTACAGCAGCCCCCCCCCACCATGAACCCCAGTACTTCTCACACTTCGTGTTAGCAGGCAAACACACGCTAGAGGGTGAGAGAGGTGAGTAGAGGCAGGACACAGAGTAGTCAGGGTCCCGAGGTAGGCCAGCCAAAAGAGGGTCGCTGTGAGTAGGGAAGCAGTGGCTGCTTTGAGATAAGTCCCCATGTCCCCACTGCCCCCAGACCCTCCCTGACATTCCAGAGATGTCTCAGCCCTAAACTCAAGGCTTCTCTGTTATGGTAGAAGCCAAAGCTGGATGAAACATCATCCCAAAGTCAGGTATGGCCAGGCACGATGGCTCACACCTGTAATCCCAGCACTTTATGGGGCTAAGGCGGGAGGATCATTTGAGGTCAGGAGTTTGAGACCAACCTGGCCAACATGATGAAACCCTGTTTCTACTAAAAATACAAAAATTAGCCAGGCTTGCTGGTGGGTGTCTGTAATCCCAGCTACTTGGATGGCTGAGGCAGGAAAATTGCTTGAACCTAGGAGGCAGAAGTTGCAGTGAGCCGAGATTACACCACTGTGCTTCAGCCTGGGCAACAGAGCACCAGACTTGGTCTCTAAAAAAAAAAAAAAAAGATGATCCCAGCCCCAAGGTTTGGGTGGGGCAGTGAGAAGGACCCAGAATACCCCAAATTAAAATATCAGGCCTCAGAAGAACCCAAAGAAAACAGGGATATTGACACTGGCTTAAAGGAAGGGCTTTCCTGGCAGGGAACAGCATGTGCAAATGCTTGGAGGTGTGGAATCACATGCTCTGTGCTGTTACATTCGTGATGGCTCAATCAAGGTCCAAGAGGAAGCAGCAGGAGGTTGGCAGAGCAGCTCAAGGAAGGCATTGATGGCAAAGCCAGGAGCTTGGACCTGGCCCCACAGGTAAATGCCAGCCATAGAGTGTGAGCAAGAGAGGCCGGGCATATCTATTCAATAAATGTTAGCTGAATTGGGGCCCAGGTCTATGCTAGAAAAGGCTGGGAACAGGAAAGAGCCGAGCTCTCGGTCTCATATCCAGCTCCCCTCCCCCTCCAGTATAGTCAGGGATGGCACAGATGGAGATAGCTGGGGCAGGTCTGCCTGGAGACTTTCTAGGTGAAAGGCACCTTGCCCTGAGTCACACTCAGCCTGTTCCCCCAAATCCTCTAGAACTTTCTCTTTTGTCTCCCATGCCAGGCCTTCTGCCTGGTGTCCTTTCCCTGATTCAGTCTGCCTGAAGACTCCTACACGTCCTTCAAAACCCTACTCAGGCTGGGTGCGGTGGCTCACGCCTGTAATCTCAGCACTTTGGGAGGTCGGGGTGGGAGGATCACCTGAGATCAGAAGTTTGAGATCAGCCTGACCAACATGGTGAAACCCCATCTCTACTAAAAGTACAAAATTAGCCAGGCGTGATGACACACGCCTGTAATCCCAGCTACTTGGGAGGCTGAGGCAGGAGAATCACTTGAACACAGGAGGCAGAGGTTGCAGTGAACCAAGATCACGCCATTGCCTCCAACCTGGGCAACAAGAGCGAAACTCTGTCTCAAACAAATGAACAAACAAAAACTACTCAGCATATCTTTGGTAAAATCTTCCTTAATCCTTTTTTAGGCTCCTATTTTATGAGCACCTAATTGAGTGCTGGGCATCCCTAAGCCCTCACTGGATCTTCACACCCACCCTGTGATGTACACATTTTTCTTCTGCCTGAAATGTCCTAAGTTGCCCCTCCAAGAGTCACTGCCTCAGGGAGGTCCTCACTTCCAGGGGCAGCAGAACATAGTGGTTAAGCAGGGAAACTCTACAGCTAGATGGCCTGGGTTCAAATCCTAGCTCTGTCCCTTCCAGCTGTGTAATGCTGGTGGCGTTACTGAACCTCTCCATGCCTCAGTGTCTGCAACTATAAAAACGGGATGTTGGGGCCCTGCGCAGTGGCTCACGCCTGTAATCCCAGCACTTTGGGAGGCTGAGGCGGGCAGATCACGAGGTCAAGAGATTGAGACCATCTTGGCCAACATGGTGAAACCCCGTCTCTACTAAACATACAAAAATTATCTGGGCGTGTTGGCGATTGCCTGTAGTCCCAGCTATTCGGGAGGCTGAGGCAGAATAGCTTGAACCCGGGAGGCAGAGGTTGCAGTGAGCCGAGATCGCGCCACTGCACTCCAGCCTGGCGACAGAGCGAGACTCCGTCTCAAAAAAAAAAAAGGGAGGGGGATGTCATAATATCCACCTTACTGGGCTGTTGTGATTAAATGAATTAATCCATGCCAGTGCGTGGTATACAGTAATGGGAATCCGTGTTTGCTCTGAAATGTCACGCTGAGAACCTGGGACTTAGGGACCGTAGGAAGCCTGGGAGGCTTGGAGGCGAAAAGGAGAGGCATTTGAGAACCAGCTCAGGTCCCCAATCGTGTCTCCTCTCTCCCCGCCCACCCCGGTTTTGCTTCCGCGTCCCTCTAGGGAAAATTATTTAGGTAAAGGGGCGGGGTCATCAACTTGGCCCCGCCCCCTGGATTGTGAATTCCGCACCCTCCCGGCTATAGACGCCCACCTACCACATACCACCTGTTCATGATCTCCCGTCAGGGACCGCGAAGCCAGGCCTCAGCTGTGATGCTGAAATTTGATCCCGCGGGGACACCATCGCATTAAAAAGCTCAAAGGCTGAAGTAGTCACAGAGAGGGGTGTGGCCGGCATTTTAGTTCCGCCCCTGCCGGAGTAGCCAAAGGCCTCATTGGCGCCTTCACGCTTAGTAGCCGTGGTGTAATTGGATAAAAGCCCGTGGAGGGGGCGGGATCCCAGGTGAGTTTCTACCAATCGATTAGTTAGTCCCCAAGAGGGCGGGACAGGAAGCTGCAGATTTACGATCCGATTGGTTTCGGGCTCAGCTGGGAGGCGGGACGAATTCTTGGTTGGGGGAAACCCACCAGGGGACACGGTGGAGGAGGGGTCACTGCCCAACCGGGGGCGGTGGAGTGAGGTAGCGAATTCAGCCCGTTTAGCCCCGGCGCCTCTGTTCTCGGAATCCGGGCCCTGTGGTTTGAGGTCCTGGTTCCTAACGGTGGGATTGGTGTCTTCGGGATGAGATTTGGGGTTTCCTCGGGGGCTTTGGGGAGCTTGACCTTACATCTCGGATTGTGTTATGAAAGGGGTGGTCTTGGCTGTCGGACCTGGATCCCTGCGGTGATATTTGGGAGTTAGTGGGGTGGTCTCTGAAAACCTAGAGCTATAAGCTGGAGCTACTGGGGCCGAAATTTGGGGGACTCTGAAGTGGCATGGAGATTGAGGTCCAGACAGCCTGAGATCTTGAGCGCTGACATTTGGAGAGATGGGGTCGAGGGTTGCCTTTGGGCCCTGACTGCTTTGGGCCTTTCTCACTCTCATTCCGGGGCTGCTTTGCCAGAATCTCTGATGGATTGGCCTTTACCCTGTCCCCAAGCGGGCTCACAGGGTCTGAAGGCCACGCACGAGGCAAAGGTAAAGTTCTGAGCCACCCGGTGCCTCCTTCCCAGGGCTGCAAGATGGAGGAAGGCGGGAACCTGGGAGGCCTGATTAAGATGGTCCATCTACTGGTCTTGTCAGGTGCCTGGGGCATGCAAATGTGGGTGACCTTCGTCTCAGGTAGGGACCTTCAGCTTGGACATCATGGGTACCTGGAGTGGGGATGGAAATAAGAGGGGAATCTGGAGGTGCCCTAACATCCCTATGGCCCCCATATCCTGCAGGCTTCCTGCTTTTCCGAGGCCTTCCCCGACATACCTTCGGCCTAGTGCAGAGCAAACTCTTCCCTTTCTACTTCCACATCTCCATGGGCTGTGCCTTCATCAATCTCTGCATCTTGGCTCCACAGCACGCCTGGGCTCAGCTCACATTCTGGGAGGCCAGCCAGGTACGTGGGCTTGAACGCCACTACCCTCTGGAGACTTGTTCTCAAGACCCCAGTGAGCACCTATGGCTACACCTTTTCCAGAAAAAAAAAAAGTGCCCCTTCTTCCTGGTGGATACAAAGCTGGGCTCTTGATACCTTTGAGCAGTGCACAGCCTGTACAACAGTCCCTATTAGCCCTGTCTGCCCCCTCAGCATCTCTCTACTAGCTGCTGTTCCCTCTCTTCCTGCTGGCAGGGCCTGCTGCCAATCGGTGGTGACTCAGCTAAGCTAGGATATTAACCCCAGCTTATTGTTTAAAAACCAGCCCGACTGGGAATTTATGGTTTCCTACCCCCTTCCACACATTTTTCTGGCCACAAGGCAAGAAACCATCTCTGCATCTCAGATTTCTCGACTGTAGCCTTCCCCTGCCCACATTATGTTCCACAAGTGAGACCTGATAGGTTTTTCAAGAATAATCTCATAGAGACAGTAGGGGATTATAGGTAACTAGAACTTCACAGACTGTTTTTTTCTTTCTTTTAATTATTTTAATGAAACAGGCTCAGAAGGTATTCAAAGATTTAAAAAAATAAAGATGGGGTTATAGCAACGTGAGAATGGCAAAAATATTTTTCTTAATTATGAAAACGGAGATGAGAGTCTTGCTGTGTTGTTCAGGTTGGTCTTGAACTCCTGGCCTCAAGTTATGCTTCCACCTTTATCTCCGAAAGCACCAGGATTACAGATTATGGGCATGAGCCACTATGCCTGCCTTCACATACTTTTTGGGGTTTTTTGACTTGTTTGTTTGTTTGAGACAGGGTCTTGCTCTGTCTCTCAAGCTGGAGTGCAGTGGTGTGATCTTGGCTCACTGCAACCTCCGCCTCCTGGGTTCAAGCAATTCTCGTACCTCAGCCTCCTGAGTAGCTGGGATTAGAGGCAGGTGCCACCACGCCCAGCTAATTTCTGTATTTTTAGTAGAGACAGGGTTTTGCCATGTTAGCCAGGCTGGTCTCAGACTCCTGACCTCAAGTGATCCACCCACCTCAGCCTCCCAAAGTGCTGGGACTATAGGCATTGAGCCACCATGCTCAGCCACTCAAAGACTTTTTATTCACTCTCTGTGGGTCCAGTGTCAGCTTCTGGGGTCTGGGCTGTGGCCATTGAGGCAAGAGATCCTACCCTGGGGACTTCCAGTCTCAGTATCAGAGGAGAGGAGGCTCTGGAGGTTTTGCGGGGGGTGGAGGAGGTGGGGATGGAGCCTTTCCTTCAGAGCTGCCAGTTTCAGAGTAGGAGAGCTGGAGCTCTGCTTTGGGGCCCTCAGTCTGGGTTCAAGGAAAGACAGGGAGGCAGGCTTTTGATCCAGTGCTGTCCCCACCCCCAGCCCTGTGCTGTTGAGAAGGGCCCTCCTTAGGGCCCCTCTGGCCTCCCAGGCATGGCTTATCTTCTCCTCTGCTGTCCCTGCCAGCTTTACCTGCTGTTCCTGAGCCTTACACTGGCCACTGTCAACGCCCGCTGGCTGGAGCCCCGCACCACAGCTGCCATGTGGGCCCTGCAAACTGTGGAGAAGGAGCGGGGCCTGGGTGGGGAGGTACCAGGCAGCCACCAGGGCCCTGATCCCTACCGCCAGCTGCGAGAGAAGGACCCCAAGTACAGTGCTCTCCGCCAGAATTTCTTCCGCTACCATGGCCTGTCCTCTCTTTGCAATCTGGGCTGTGTCCTAAGCAATGGGCTCTGTCTTGCCGGCCTGGCCCTGGAAATAAGGAGCCTCTAGCATGGACCCTGCATGCCAATAAATGCTTCTTTGGAAATGGCTGCTGTCTTTTCTTTTCCCCGCCTCCATGAGAAGCAGGGGGACGGACAGGCAAGGGTAGAGCCGAGGGCCTCAGTTTCCCCATTCATGAAGCATGATGATTTGGAGTATCAGGCATTGCAGCCTGTAAGCCTCTCCTATAATGATGCCCATTTACTGAGCACCTGCTGTATACCAGACATGTTGTTAACCACTGATATATCATGTATTATTTGTTTTGTCTTTTTTTTTTTTTTTTGAGATGGATTTTGCTCTTGTTGCCCAGGCTGGAGTGCAACGATGCAATCTCGGCTCACCGCAACCTCCGCTTCCTGAGTTCAAGTGATTCTTCTGCCTCAGCCTCCCAAGTAGCTGGGATTACAGGCACGTGCCACCATGCCTAGCTAGTTTTGTATTTTTAGTAGAGACGGCATTTCTCTATGTTGGTCAGGTTGGTCTTGAACTCCCGACCTCAGGTGATCCACCCACCTCAGCCTCCCAAAGTGCTGGGATTACAGGCATAAGCCACTGCACCCGGCATTCTGTCTTGTTTTTAACGTAGGGTCTCACTCTGTCACCCAGTCAGGAGTGCAGTGGCATGATAGCTCACTGCAGCCTCCAACTCCTGAGCTCAAGCAATCCTCCCACCTCAACCTCCCAAGTAGCTGGGACTACTGGCACATGCCACCAGCCCCAGATGGTTCTGATCCAAGAGTACAATCATATTTCTCACCCTAATGACATTGGGGTGGCCATGTGACTTGCTTTGACCAATGAAATGTGAGCAGAGGTGGCATGTACCCCTTCCAAGGAGAAGTGCTGCAAAACTGCATAATTTGCTGCATTTTCTCTTCACAAAACCACCATAATGGGAACCAAACCTTAGCTGTTGGGCCCATGAAGTCTTGGGGGTGCTTGTTACTAAGCATAACCCAGTGCCTCCTAACTAACCCACTTCATCCCCATTCATCCACGTGGCAGCTCTTGGGGCAGCTACTTTTGTTACCATAAGGCAGTGCGGGTTCAGAGGTTCAGCAAATTGAGTGAGGTGAAGTTGCTGGAATTCCAACACCAGCAAAGCCTGAGTATTTCACAGAGAGATCCAACCCACTTTATTTTTGTCTGTATTTAGAGATAAGGTCTTGCCTTGTCACCCAGGCTGGAGGGCAGTGGCACAATCATAGCCTACTGAAGCCTCTCTCTCGCAGGCTCAAGCAATCCTCCTGCCTCAGCCTCCTGACTAGCTAAGACTACATGTGTGTGTCACCATGGCCAGCTAGTTAAAATTTTTTTTTTGTAGATTCGGGACCTCTTTATATTGCCGAGGCTGGCCTTGAACCCTTGAGCTTAAGCAATCCTCCTGCCTCAGCCTCCCAAAGTTTGCGATCACAGGCATCAGACAACGTGCCTAGCCTCATTTACTTTTTAATTTTTTTTTTTTTTTTTGAGGCAGAATATCGCTCTGTCGTCCAGGCTGGAGTGCAGTGGCACAATCTCAGCTCACTTTAACCTCCACCTCCCGGGCTCAAGCAATTCCCCTGCCTCAGCCTCCTAAGTAGCTGGGATTACAAGCACGCACCACCATGCCCGGCTAATTTTGTATTTTTTATTTTGTAGAGTTGGTGTTTTTCTATGTTGGCTAGGGTGGTCTTGAACTCCTGAACTCAAGCAGTCCACCCGCCTCGGCCTTCCAAAGTGCTGGGATTGCAGGCATAAACCACTGAGCCCAGCTCTCATTTATTTTTATTTATTTATTTGAAACAGGGTCTTGCTCTGTTGCCAAGGCTGGAGTGCTGTGGCACAATTATGGCTCACTGCAGCCTCAATCTCTTCAGCTCAAGCAATCCTCCCATCTCAGCCTCCCAAGTAGCTGGGGTTACAGTCACACACCACCAAACCTGGCTAATTTTTGTTATTTTTAGTAGAGATGAGGTCTCCTTATGATGCCTAGGCTAGTCTCAAACTCCTGGCCTCAAGTGATTCTCCTGCCTCATCCTCCCAAACTGCTGGTACTACAGGCTACTGCGCCTGCCCTAGCCTACTTTAGGGCCGGCATTGCACTTGACAAACACTAACTCAGATAATCCTCCCACAACTCTGTGAGGTTGGGTACTCTTGCTGTGAGCTTTTTGACGGACGGGGAAACTAACGCTCTTCAAAGAGGTCAAGTAACGCCTCCAAAGTCACAAGATTACAAAGTGGTGGAACTGGGACTCGAACTAGGTACCAGACTCCATGCTTTTAACGGCCGTGGGCATAGAAGGAGCTGTTTACACGCACGTGGGAAAAATGAGATGCTGCTTGGCTAGGGCGGGCTCTGGACGCTCGGTGCAGCTTCCAGCCCCGCCCACCCGCTTTCGGCAAGCCCCGCCCAAGACTCGGCCCCGCTCGGTCCTCCCCCACCCCCCGCTCCGGGAACGGCCCCTCCTCTGCCTCCTGGGCGGAGCCCGCGCAGGATCCGGGTGGCTGCAGGCTGCGGGCTTCGGTGGCTGCGGGGCGGGGGTCTCGGCCAAGGCCAGGCCGCAGCGAGTCCACCGGCTGATTTCCTGCGGGCGGCGCCCCATACGAGAGGCGACTCCTGGGAAGGAGCGCAGCCCGCCCCGCCCCGCTACATTCGAGCAGGTCTGTGGGGTACAGGGGTTTGGGGGGAAGGGTGGGGGGCCTGGAGAACAAAGGCGGGGCTGCGGGAAACGCCTCTGCCCTCGCCCCCACCCAGCTGGGCACTTGGGAAGCGCTGATGGGGCGCGGGCGGGGCAGAGAACCGGGCTGGAGACAGGCGTTGGGACCATATGGTGATGGGGGAAGTTCCCGAGCCACCTGCACTGGCTGGGGCGCCCCAAATCTAATGAAGGGGGAGAGAGGCGAGCTCCCCGGGGCTAGGCATGAGGGAGGGTCGGCAGACGGTTAGAATGAGGTAGGACCGACTGACAGAGGGGAGCTGAGGCTGGGCGAGGTGGGGACCCCAGGCTTGAGGCCCTGCCCTGCGTGGGAAAAGGTTTCCTGCCTCTTCCCTCCCTCAGACTCGTTCTCCTGGAACACGGGGTGGGGCCGATTAGGTCCTCGTTTAAAGTGGAAAAAAGCCCCAAAGGCGGTTGAGAAATAGCTTTGCCAGGGTTTTCTCAGCCTCTGCCCAGCCTCTCTATGGGGTTCCTGCATCAGCCATAGACAACTGGGGAAACTGATGCCTGGGAGAGGTTATGAGGGTTGAGGGAGCACCCTGGACCTGGCTGAAGCAGCATGTTGGAGTGTGGGCAGATTCAAGCAGCCCAGGCCTGGGAGAGATTGCCTGGAAAGACCAGTGGTGGGCAGTGGTGGTCGTGGTGGTGGGGTTGTGTTAATGAGAGGGCTGGGATGGCTTCCCTGGATATAGGACCCTCATTCCTGCCTCCGTGGACTGGGGCTGGAGTGAGTCAGCCTTGGGCAGAAGGAGACAGGCCCAGCCCCTTTGACAAATAGAAAATGGCAGTACCCATTGAGGGGGTAGAACTGGCCTTTAAACCTGGGCTGTGTACATAGAAAACCCCTTCCCCCTGGAACTTAGAGAAGGGGTTATATTTGGCATGAGTTGGGGGAGGGCGGGTGCCCCAGTGGCTGACACCTGCCAAAGTCAACACCTAAGCCTTAATCGGGGGCTCTATCCAGCTTATCCAGTTGGCACGTCCTCCCCCCACCCCACCCCACCCCAGCTTACACCTGGGCCACACCAGCTGCACACGCTGGGGCGAAGTCCACACCTGCGCCTTCTCCAGAGTGTAGTTCTGCAGCGGCCAGAGCCCCTTACCCTCGGCCCTGAACTCGAACCCTTTGCCAGGCCTCTGGGTCTCCAGACAGGAAGGGTCTCCCCACCCTCCAGCCCAATAAAGACTCAATTATGCCATAGAGTGTAAAGATTAAACGGCAGTCACATTTTTGGTGCCCCAGCTGTATACCACACACTGTCTAATGACCGTTATGTGTGTTAATATCTTCCCACTGGAAGGAACATGACCGCCCGAGGGTGGACTTTTTCTTGTCACAGCTGCATCTCCACGGAGAACAGGACCTGGCACAGAGTAAGCATTTGTTGAATGAATAAAGAAACACATTTTAGATTGGGCGTGGTGGCTCGTGCCTGTAATCCCAGCACATTGGAAGGCTGAGGCCCAAAGATTGCTTAAGCAGAGGAGTTTGAAACCAGCGTGAGCAACATAGCGAGACCCCATCTCTACAAAAAAATATTTTTTAAGCTGAATCTGGTGGCTCACACCTGTAATCCCAGCACTTTGGGAGGCCGAGGTGGGCAGATCACAAGGTCAGGAGTTCGAGACCAGCCTGACCAACATGGTGAAGCCTGTCTGTACTAAAAATACAAAAATTAGCTGGGCGTGGTGGCGGGCACCTGCAATCCCAGCTACTCTGGAGTCTGAGGCAGGAGAATTGCTTGAACCTAGGAGGCGGAGGCTGCCGTGAGCCAAGATCGTGCCACTGCACTCCAGCTTGGTGACAGAGCAAGACTCTGTCTCAAAACAAAACAAAACTAATATGTATGTGTGTGTGTGTGTATATATATATATATTTATTTATTTATTTATTTATTTATTTCACGGATCACAGGAAACAATATATATATTTTTTAATTAGCCTGATGTGGAGGCATGCCTGTATTCCCGGCTAATTGGGAGGCTGAGACAGGAATATTGCTTGAGCCCATGAGGTCAAGGCTGCAGTGAGCTATGATAATGCCAGTGCCCTTCAGCCTCAGGCAGCGGAGCGAGACCTTGTCTCTAAAAAAAAAGAAGAAAGAAACTCATTTTAGGCTCACAACCAACTACTCTTTCAGGAAGGGACTATGACAAACATCCCATTTTGCAGAAGAGGAAACTGCGGTCCAGAGGGAGCAAGTGATGCATCCAGCATCACGTGGCTTCCAAATGACTGAGCTGAGATTTGAATCCAGCCCTGGTGCATCCACAGGAGCTATTATTGGTGTTTGATTCCCCTGCAGGACGCCTGTCTCCCCTCTCTGAGTATTTCAGGCCTCCCTGTCCTAGGAGGCTCAGGCCAAGATGGCATCAGCTGGAGACCCCCCAGCAGGCCCACGGGATGCAGCAGATCAGAACTTTGACTATATGTTCAAACTGCTGCTGATCGGCAACAGCAGCGTGGGCAAGACGTCCTTTCTGTTCCGCTACGCGGACGACTCCTTCACGCCTGCCTTCGTCAGCACCGTGGGCATCGACTTCAAGGTCAAGACCGTCTACCGCCATGACAAGAGGATCAAGCTGCAGATCTGGGTAGGCCAGGAGGCTGGCTGTGGGTTGGGGGTGGGGTCTGTCCAGGGATGTTCATTGGAGGGCTCTATTTTTTTTTTTTTTCTGGAGGTGGAGTCTCTGTCACCCAGGCTGGACTACAGTGGTGGGATCTTGGCTCACTGCAACCTCTGTCTCCTGGGTTCAAGCAATCCACAGGAGCCATTATTGGTGTAACCTCCCATACACCTCCTACCTCAGCCACCTGAGTAGCTGGGATAATAGACGTGAGCCACCACACCCAGCTAATTTTTGTATTTTTAGTAGAAACAAGGTTTCACCACGTTGGCCAAGCTGGTCTCGAACTCCTGACCTCAGGTGATCCACCCACCTCGGCCTCCCAAAGTGCTGGGATTACAGGCATGAGCCCCTGCACCTGGCCTCACTGGAGAGTTCTTCTGGCTGTGGGGAAGGTTCTCAAGTGAGGAGACGTAGCCCCGAGTTGGGATGTGTACTTAGGACAGGTGTGAAGAATGAGGGGGAATTATCTACTAGGTGAATTTATCAGGATGAGAGGTGAGAGAGGACATGCTCTGCCCTGGTCGAGGGGACTCTGAGGGAGACAGTATTGTTCCTGGGTCTGACTGGGAAGACGATACTAACCTAAAACATGTTTGAGGCCGGGCGCAGTGGCTCACGTCTGTAATCCCAGCACTTTGGGAGGCCGAGGTGGGTGGATCACAAGGTCAAGAGGTCGAGACCAGCCTGGCCAACATGGTGAAACCCCCATCTCTACTAAAAATACAAAAATTAGTTGGGCATGGTGGCACATGGCCGTAGTCCTAGCTACTCAGGAGCTACGCAGGAGAATTGTTTGAACCAAGGAGGCAGAGGTTGTAGTGAGCTGAGATCGCACCACTGTACGATCTCCAGCCTAGCGACAGAGTGAGACTCTGTCTTAAAAAAAAAATGTTCAAATTACTGGTAATACTATGCATGGTGGCTCGCGCCTGTAATCCCAACACTTGGGAGGCCGAGGTGGAGGATCACTTGAGCCCAGGAGTTCCAGACCAGCCTCATAGTGAGACATAGTGAGATCTCATCTCTACAAAAAATGTAAAAATTAGCCCAGCATGGTAGCTCCTGCCTGTAGTCCCAGCTACTCAGGAGGCTGACGCGGGAGCATTGCTTGAGCCCAGGAGTTGAGGCTGCAGTGAGCTATGACTGCACCACTGTACTCCAGCCTGGGTGACAGAGCAAGACCCCATTTATTAAAATAAAAAAAAAGAAAGGGCTGGGCACAGTGGCCCACACCTGTAATCCCAGCACTTTGGGAGGCTGAGGTGGGTGGATCACGAGGTCAGAGTTTTAGACCAGCCTGGTCAACATGGCGAAACCCCGTCTCTACTAAAAATACAAAAATTAGCCAGGCATGGTGGCACACACATATAGTCCCAGCTATTCATGAGGCTGAGGCAGAAGAATCGCTTGAACCTGGGAGGCGGAGGTTGTAGTGAGCAGAGATCGTGCCACTGCACTCCAGCCTGGGTGACAGAGTGAGACTCCATCTCAAAAAAAAAAAAAAGTTCCCAGGGGCTGGTGACCAATGGGAAGGGGTTTTGGGTACCATCTTAGAGGGGACTCCTGAGATCCCCATTGAACCAGCCTGGTCTGCAGAGCTACACCCAGCCCCCTCTCCCAACTCAGTCGCTGGTAACAATCATGGTAGCAAGAGTACCAAGGTGCCCTATCAAGATGGTACCATCTGGCCCAGTGGGTTCTTACTTGCAGTTGTTAAGTTGGTTTTTTTTTTTGGAGACAGAATCTCACTCTGTCACCCAGGCTGGAGTGCAGTGGCATGATCTAGGCTGACTGCAACCTCCTGGGTTCAACCAATTCTCCTGCCTCAGACTCCCAAGTAGCTGAGACTACAGGTGCCTGCCACCACGGCTGGCTAATTTTTGTGTTTTTTTTTAGCAGAGACGGGACTTCATCATATTGGCCAGGTCTCGAATTCTGACCTTGTGATCCGCCCGCCACAGCCTTCCAAAGTGCTGGGATTACAGGCATGAGCCACCACACCTGGCTGAAGTTGGTTCTTAGAGATGAGGTCAAAGGGGCTTATAAGTCTGTGACCCCTGAGACTTGGAACCCCTCAAGGGCAAGTCCAAGTCTCTTCCTCATCAGACTGGGGAGGTCCCTTGAGAATGAATCCATGCCTCCCCCATCAGACTGGGGCTATGAGGGCAGGGTCTGTGTATTCTCTATCAGACCGGAGGTTGTGCAAGCGGGTCTGTGTCTCCCCAATAAGACAGGGCTGTGAGCACAGGGCAGTGCCTCTCTCAGACAGGGGTGGACAGGGAAACAGGTTCCCAGCCAACTGTCACTGCCGTTTGTCCAGGACACAGCAGGCCAGGAGCGCTACCGTACCATCACCACAGCCTACTACCGGGGAGCCATGGGCTTCCTGCTCATGTATGACGTCGCCAACCAGGAATCCTTTGCCGCTGTACAGGACTGGTGAGTGCTTGCTGACCACGGACCCCTGATCTTTGCCCTCTCCTCTGACCCCTAACCCCCCCAGGCTGATGGCTCATGACTGGTAACTCTGCAGGGCCACGCAAATCAAGACCTACTCCTGGGACAATGCCCAGGTCATCCTGGTGGGGAACAAGTGTGACCTGGAGGACGAACGTGTTGTGCCTGCTGAGGATGGCCGGAGGCTCGCTGATGACCTTGGTTAGTGCCCAGCCTGGGCCACAGGCCCCGGGTCTCCCAGAACCAAACCCTCATCCTCATCCTCAGATTCAGGGTCCAACCCAGTCGCTGATCCTTTGAGGATCTGCCCAGGAAAATACCCATATGTACACCACCTTTGCTGTTTAATTTCAGGGGATCCATGCACAGGAACTCCCACTACCCCACTGCCTATGCCCGGGGAACCCAGCAAAACCATTTCTGGAAACTGATCCTATAGATATCCTCACTCATGTGGGATGTAGTGTGTTTAGTGTGGCAGCAGTGTTAGTAAAAGTGAAATCAGCCGGGTGCAGTGGCTCACACCTATAATCCCAGCACTTTGGGAGGCTGAGGCAGGTGGATCACCTGAGGCCAGGAGCTCGAGACTAGCCTGGCCAACATGGTGAAACCACATCTCTACTAAAAATACAAAAAAAAAATAAAAATAAAAAAGTTAGTAAAAGTGAAACCTATGATCCCTCCCTAGATGTCTCACAGTTGGGGAACCAAGTGGACATAAAGTATATTCACATAGTGGAATACTATGCAGCTGTGGAAAAGGATGAGGATGTTCTTTATTTTTATTTTTTGTAGAGACAGGGTCTTGCTATGTTGCCCAGCCTCCTGGCCTCAAGTGATCCTCCCTCCTTGGCCTCCCAAAGTGCTGGGATTGCAGGGGCGAGCCACCACACCTGGCTGAGGGAATGTTCTTCATGGTTTATTGTTGTTGTTGTTGTTGAGATGGAGTCTCACTCTTGAATATCTGGAATTACAGGTGCACGCATCATGCCTAACTAATTTTTGTATTTCCAGTAGAATGGGGTTTTGCCATGTTGGCCAGGCTGGTCTCGAACTCCTGACAGGTGATCCGCTCACCTTGGCCTCCCAAAGCTGGGATTACAGGCATGAGCCACCACACCCTGTCATTCTTTATGTTTTGATACGGTAATGTCTCTGTCGAAGCAGAAAAACCAAACAGCAAAATAGTGGATATGACTGCTTCCTTTAGTCCAGAGGTCAGCAAACCTTTTCTTAAAAGGCCAAATAGTAATTATTTTTGGCCACATGCTCTCTGTGGCAACTACTCAACTCTGCTTGAGAGCAACCACATGACGATGCATAAATGAATGGGTGTGACTGTTTGCCAATGAAACTTTATTTTATTTATTTTTTTAACCCCCACACCCACCAATAAAACTTTAATTGTGGCCAGGCGTGGTGGCTCACAACTGTAATCCCAACACTTTGGGGAGCTGAGGCAGGTGGATCACCTGACTTCCAGAGTCAAGACCAGCTTGGCCAACATGGCAAAACTCTGTCTCTACTAAAAATACAAAAAACTTAGCGGGGCATAGTGGCAGATGCCTGTAATCCCAGCTACTCGGGAGGCTGTGGCAGGAGAATCAATTGAACCTGGAGGTTGCAGTGAGCCGAGATTGCTCCATTGTACTCTAGCCTGGGCAACAAGAGCAAAACTCTGTCTCCAAAAA